GGGGGCAGCCTGTGGGGTGTCGGGGGCAGCCTGTGAGTCGGCGGGCTCAGTGAAGCAGACAGCCCTCCCCGGTGTGTGTGGGGCCTCGTCCTCCTCGCTCACGGCCTGGGGAGAACCGAGGGGAGAAAGGAGGCTGTGTCCTCGGCCTGTCCGCCGAGCTGGGGCCTCAGGCTTCTCCGGCTCAGCCTGGGCTGCTCCGCTCCCCTGGTCTCAGCGCACACACAGCAGACGGGCTTCTCAGCTCCGCAGTCATGGACCAGGCATCGCAATCGAGCCCTCCCTCGTCCCTCCCTCTCCTTCTCTCTCTCACACACCTGCCTGGCACAGGCTGGCTGTTCAGCTCTCCGTGCCTCAGTCTCCTTAGCTGCTAAGCAAGGGTGACGATTAGCTTCGCTATTTAATAAGCACACGCAGTGCATTACCCGCTAGTCTCCACACACTCCAGTGAAACGTGCGTGGCAGCCTTCCCGTGCTGCAGGCAGGGAGACCGAGGCCATCAAGTGCCGTAAAGTGCCCAGGACCGTACCTCTCTGAACCCACGGGTCTGCCCTGGGCCAGTGACACTCCCGCTGTGCCGGCAGCCCGCGCGGAGTCAGTGCCGGCCGTGGCAGTGCGCCTGGTATCACAGGCATACGCACCTGCTTCCCATCCACACCCTCATCACGCCCCTGCCGCCTGCTGGCAGCCCCAGAGCCACAGGAAGTTTGGCCTTGTCCCGGGTGTGGCAGCGGAGCGAGGGCCTGGCCGCTCCCCCCACTGCTCCCGAGAGCCTGCGGCCCCAGCACCACTCGGAATAAGTGGTCAAGTTTCGAATTAAATGCAGCAGAAAGCAGGTACTGTGGAGCCGGCGGAGAATGAGGGCGTTATACCCAGAACGGTCATGAGGGTTATCCCAGCACCTTTCTAACAACGAGAGTAAATCCAAGCGATCCAGGTGCAAATTACCATCGGGAGCAACCGCTCCCACAGCTCACCTTTGTGCCCTGAGGAGCCGCACACAGAGGCCAGGGCTCTCCCCCAGCACAGCCTGTCCTTCGGGGACCCCCCGCCTCCAGCCTTGGGGTCCCAGGACAACCAGCTGGTGGCCATCGAGCACCTGGTGCCCAGGCCCGTCCTCGGAGCTGTGCACAGACGAGTGGATTCATCCTCACCTGTGCGGACACCTGTGTCCCAGTGGTTGAACCTCAAGCATGACGCTCGGTGAGCACAGCCAGAATGCCGTGGCCACTCGGTGTGGGTTCCGTTTAGAAGAAACATCCAGACACGGGGGTGGAGTCGTGGTGGCCGGAGGGTGGGGGTCTTTCTGCCGTAATGGACGTGTTCTAGCTGACCGCAACAGCAGCGGCATGGCTGTGAGGACCTGGAGCCCACTGCACTGCCCACGCGTGGCATGCAGTGACCTTTCAATTGGCTGTCTTTAAAGAAGGTGAGCTTTAAACAGTCCCAGCCCAGCCTGGACCCTGCTCAAGGGCAAAGAGGAGGGAGCGAGTCCAAGTTCTGGCTTCTGCCGGGCCCTGGGGTCCCACCCCATGATGGGGACCAGGGGCCCTCCATTGGGGAGAGGGTGTCGGGGACCTAAGAGGGCCCCAGGCGCTACCTGTGGGTGAGCCCCAGTGGCTGTCCCAGGCCCCTGCCGCCCTCTGGCCGGGCCTGGGCTCCCTGTCGCTCAGCAGGAGGCCCACCCCGAGCAGGCGCTCCTCGTCCACAGCCGGGCCGTTAGCTCCGCGCTCACTGTGCAACCCCACGCCCTGCCCAGTTTCTGGCAAATGGAGGTGCTGGGTCAGGATTTGTGGAGGGGCTGGCATCCAGCCCACAGTCACAGATGCATCTCCAGGGGAGTGGAAGGAAGAGACCCTGGTGGACCCTGGCTGGCAGAGATGGCCCAGCCTGACACACAGGGCGTGTCTGTGCTGCCCCCTTGTGTCCAGTGACTACAGCTGTGGATCTCACCCCCACAGCCACCACCACCAGCACCGCTGGCAGGGGCGGGAGTTGGGCTGCTGGGCTCAGAGCTCACACCAGAGGTGGTACCAGGGGAGCCAGGCCCAGCGGAATCATGAAACACGCACCGCCTCGACCCCAAGCTGGGGAAGGAAGTGCGTGCCCCAGGAGGAGAGAGGTGCAATGAGACAGGAGGGAGTTTAAAAAATATGTTTTTATATTGAGGGGTCTCTCTTTTCTGCGTCCAGCGCGGAAAGAGAGTGGTCCAGTTCTTAGAGTAGGGGCGCTGGGGATTGAGAAAATGAAAGATAAAGACAGACACAGAGATGGAAGAAAAAAGCTGGGACCGGGTGGGACCGCTGCCCTCTTCTGATGGAGAGACAGGGACCCAGCACCTGTTTATTTTATACCCCAAATACCAGGAAGTTTCACCAAAGGTCAAGACAAAGGAGATTATTTGCATTCTAACGTCAGTTCTGGGTGGGCCCGAGTCCTATTCATTCCTGGTGCTTGGCTGGATTTACATAATAAAACCCACTCCCAGGCACCTGGGCAGAAATGAAGGTCAAGCTGAGAACACTTATGCCTTTTTGGCAAAATGTGTTTCCAGGATGTGGCTCTGCCTACCGCCCTGGATTCAGCTGACAATTTATTAAAGAAATGCCCATGTGCCTTCCCCGGGGCTCTCTACATTTTTATTGATTTTTCAGAGAGAGGAAGGGAGAGGGAGAGGGAGAGACAGAAACGTCTATGATGAGAGAGAATCATGGATCGGCTGCCTCCTGCACACCCCACACTGGGGATTGAGCTCGCAACTGGGCATGTGCCCTGACCGGCAATTGAACTGTGACCTCCTGGTTCCTAGGTTGATGCTCAACCATTGAGCCACACCGGCCGGGCAAGGGGGTTTGCTCAGGACACAGCCCTGGATACCAAACACACTCGGCCCAGCCCTGCCTTTGGTGTTGCAGCGACTGGGGTCGGGCAGAGCTGATGCCTCGAGGCACCTCCAGCCGGCAGTGCCACGTACCTCTGCCGGGAGCTCGGATTGCCATGTCTGACCCTCCAGCAGATGGAGCCCCGGGTGCCCCCAGGAGCCACAGGCCAGAGGACACCAGGAGAGCTGGGCCAAGTGGGACCCGGGCCTGGGGAGGAGGACACCTCCGAAGACTGATCGCCTGGGTCCCGAGGCTGCGGAGAGGAGCCGACATGGTCCAGGCCGAGGGTTCATGGGTCCGGCCTGCAGGTGTTGGATGAAAGGGCCCAGAGGCTGGCTTCTCACTGTGGGCACCATGAGAGCATCCTTGTGGGGCGGGGACAAGACGGGGGACAAGAAAGGAGATAGCGGGGAGGAAGGGGAGTCACCTGGGCAGGAGGGGAGAATATATATGAGAGGAGTTTGGGGGTGAAACAAGGACCCCAACTGGCCAAGGAGCAGAGGGGTCACAGTGAGCAGGATGGGGAGGCAGAGGCTGAGGCGGGAGGCAGTCCTGCAGGCTGGGGTGGGCTCTGAGGGAGTCTGCAGGGCCTAGCAGCCCAGCGATGAGCGTGGGTGAGACTGTGGGGAGGCCCGATGGAGCTCTGGTGACCCCAATGTTATGGTCTTTCACCTGCCAAGCCCCTGACAAAGGAGACCCCTGCCTGGGTGGGGGTGAGGCAGAGAGGAGCCTCCTAGGAGAGCAGAAAGCCACCCCTTGCTTCCACTCTTCCAAACGCGGTGGTGTTGACAGCGAGCGCCCAGCACCCACAATGACACAGTGGGCGTCAGCAGGTCATTGCCCGGCCTGGTCAGCGCACCATCAGAATCAGATGTTTAGGGAAAGAATAACCCGTGCTGGGGCTCCTTTCATCTTGTTTTATGAACCACAGGTGAGCACACACACATTCACACCCATGCACACACGTGCACATACATGTATGCACACACACATACTCTTCCTGCGCCAGTGGCAGTGAATGAAAGTGGGGCCCTGGAGGGAGAAGATACTGGTCACAGTGGTGGGGGGGCACCCCCGGGGAGGCTCCTGGGAAAACAGGCTCGCCTGGCAGCCCTCCGCAGACTCCCAAAAGCCTGCATGAAGGATGTGCAAAACCACCGAACTTTGCAAATTCATAGAAATAAAGCACACCGATTGGGACATAGGTTTTAAATAGTAAAATATATTTACACACATGATTGACTGAGGACACCAGGAAACACAATCCCATGAAAGTACGACGCCCTCAGGCGGCAATCACAGGTTCTGCTGAGCGAGCGCTCACCCAGCAGCCAGCAGGTAGGAAACCGATCCTAGAAATAAGCGTTTATGCAAATGGTCCATAAATATATGCGCCCATCCCACCGGGGTCCTGCGGCAGGGACAGGAGGTGACAGCAGGTGAATAAGGAGCTGGCTCCTTGGGGAGCACACCCGGAAATGGGCCGCCCCTCCCCAGGACGAACACAGGAAGTCAGGGCTGTGCACCAGCGGCCGCCAGCACTCAGTGCTTCCCACCAGCGGCGGCCCCTCCCTGAGGACCCAGAACCAAAGCGGGCACAGCGCCAGCAGCGAGGCCCGTCAACGCCAACGCGTCCACTGTGTCCCCGGGGAGCCGGGAGTGTGAGGCCAGGGCCTGGAGTGGAGGCGGTGCTTCACCGGGCGGGGCCGCAGGGGGGCCGCCACCCCCCCCCCCAGCATTTCCCATGCCTTACAGTCCTCCTTGCCGCCTCCCAGGCTCAGACATGAGCAGCAGCCCTCCTGCCTTGAGCCCCCCAGAATCTAATGGGAGGTTTTCTAAGAGTCCTCAGACTGGGAGCAATTGTGAGGGGCCAGCCCGCTGTGGAGAAGCTAGCCGGTGGTTTTTGGGGAACGCTGAGTGCCGGCCCGGGTCCGGTGGGCGGGCAGGCATCAGACGTTGCTCTGGAGGTCTGAGGGGGCACCTTGGAGGTCTGAGGGGCTGTCCGAGGCCGAGGACTGGCTGGGCAGAGAAGCTTCCAGGCCCTGGGGAGACCCCGGCAGGCACGTGTACAGGACGTACGCAGCGGCGAAGAAGAGGAAGCCCAGCACCTGCAGAGAAAGGGGCTGCTGGACCGGAGCTGCCCACCCAGGCCCCACGCGTCCCTGCGCCTCTCGGGGTTCTCAGACCCCCCACTCTGGCGAGAAGACCCCTCTTCCTGCACAGCCAGTCCCCAGCACGGAGACCAATGCTGTTAGCGAAGGAAGGAAAATGCATTTGACTGAAAGCAGAGGCACTAGATAGGGGGCTGAACAGTGTCCCCCAAAGATATATCTGAGTCATGATCCCCAGAGCGTGTGAAAGGGCCTTTACTTGTGAGATGGGATGAAGGACCTGGGGTGAGGGCCCCCAGTCCAGAGCAAGGAGGCAGGGGTTTGTCACAAATATATTGGGGGGGGGGCAGAGATGGGGTGACAGATCTACAAGCCAAAGGTTGCTGGCAGACCAGCCTGCTCCCTGGGAAAGGCATCTCCCTAAACCAACCCAGGGCTATCCTCCAGAGCTCCACAGATCCCTGGTCACACGGCCATGTTTACACGAATCTGAAGGGAGATAAACCAGGGTTGGCCAAGACCGTCTGTGTTTGAGGCCCCTCAGGAAAGGTCCTGCCGTGGAGACAGGCCCTAGGCTTCCTCTTATTTGGTGTCCTGAGCCTTCCCCTCCAATGGGGCGGGGGGCGGGGGGGATCCAAAGCACCGGGTCTGGGCTTCACCCGGGCGCATATGCCCAGCGCTGGGGCAGGAAGTTTCTGTCCGTGGCTGGAAGCAGAGGGTCAGGCTGAGAACTAGGACGGCACATTAAAGCCGTGTGGCTCAGGGACCCATCACACCGACCCGGCCTGCATGTACCCAGGCTGCCAGGTTCTATTCCTCCAAAGCCTGAGCTGCCAGAGCCACAGGGCACACCCAGGCTGCCATGGCAAAGGCCCTGCAAGGCAGGGGAGCCCTCCGACCCCGGGCTGCGAGCTCGGGCCCGTGACCCCGGCTGGCTCTCCCAGTCACCACCACATCAGGGTCCCAGTGCCAGCTCTCGATGGGGAAGGACATGCTCTGCAAAATGGGCTTCACTGCTGGGAGGCCCCAGGGAAGTGCCCAGAACCCCTGCTGCTAGAAGATTCCGGGCTTCCTCCCTCAGCCCGCCCAGAGCCCACCTGCTCACCTTGTACACCAGCCCGGCGATGAGCATGTACCGGCTCATGGTTGCGTTCTGGTACAGGAAGCAGGAGCCCTGCTGGCCACACTGGTCCTGCCACAGCAGGCACGCCTTGTCAATCACCCAGCCGAAGGCAATGGGCCCTGGGATGCCCCCTGTGGAGAGAGGCCCACTCAGAACCCCAACATGCCCAGGCTCTCAGAAAGGGGACCTCGGCCACTGGTGTTCCCAGGGGGGTGCCAAGGGGGCCTCAGTGTTCCTTCTCTGGGGACTCAGCTGCAGGCCCGGGCTTCCCTGTGACCCCCGACCCCCAGGGAGCTTTTGTGTTAGTGAGAAGGCACCCTCTGGGCAAAAGGTGACCTGGGTGCCTCTAGCGGAGCGCTAGGGAATGGCGTTCTCCCCGGTGGGCACAGGCCTGGGTGAGGAGCCCCTGGCCAGGTGCCCTGTGCGGTGAGCATCACGCCCAGCTGTGCGTGGCCCCTCACACTGCACAGTGAGTACCTAGAGTCCTAACCACGATCCACTGGATTCCCAGCGCGAAGGACCTCTGCTGGTCGCCGACGCACCTGAACCAGAAAAGCAACGTCAAGGCCCAGGGCAGTGTGGCCGCCGCCAAGTCACACCCCCAAGCCCACAGCCAAGTCCTGGCCGAGCTCCAGGCCGCACTGCCGCCTCCCCAGGTGGAAAGCACCTCACAGAGGCACAGCACTTCCTCGCCCCCGCGAGGCCGGAGCGACCCGGGCGCCGCGGAGCTCCTGGAGGCGCCGGAGGGAAGGCGGGGCAGCGAGCGAAGCCCAGCCTGCTTACCGTAGGGTGGCGGTCAGCGCGGGAATGCTGCTGAGGAATGTAAAGGTAATTACAACGAATATGAAAACCAGAAGGAGGGGCTTGCTCTGACAAGTTGAAGTGCATTTCCCTGCAGTAGCATGGCCAAAACCAGAGGAAAAATTCTGAAGGACACACCTACAGTCTCGGTACACCTGAGGAGCGCAACAACAGCGCGATTACAGGAGGAAGGGCCGGGCCCTCCCAGCTCCAGGGCAGACGGACGGGCTGTGGGCAGGGGCTGCACTCACCTTCTGGCCGCCAGGGCCTGGTGGC